AGCATATAGCCATCTTTTGGCTATGTTATTAGCCACGCTCTAAAAATCTTCTGTATTTTTTTCCTTATAGGTGTTTGATGATCACAGATTTCTAGCTATCTAGCATTCTAGCTTGAGTGAGCCCTTTCGAAAATATAAACTGATAAATATATTTATATTATAATCATCTGTTTTGTGAAACTCACACCTAATGCAATATCCACACCAAGCTACACCACTCTAAAATAAATTGTCATTGGATTATATCAAGGATCAATCAAAAGTTGTTAGATTAGCATTTATGGCATACGAACAATCATATTTGTTGGTTAAAAGACACATCCTTTGTTCAAGGTCACTACTGCATAAATTCCCCTTTGGTGAGGTTTTTCGTCCCCTAGTTGGTGTGTTTTTTGGCCCGTTGCTAGATGATTTTCTCCCGTAGTGAATGGTGGACGTGTGAAAGGGCAGATTAATTGGGTAAAATCCTAGATGACTCCATGGAAATTGCAATATGGGAGAAGCCGATGACCGGATCATATAAGGTAAATACCGACGCAGCCTTCTTTGAAGATGGATCGGGTGTTGTGGCTGCTGTCGTCCGGGATTCGAGAGGTTGCGCTGTTGTGGGGGTAGCCGAGTTGATCCATCAGGTGCATGATGCAGCCTCGACAGAAGCAATGGCAGTTAAGCGTGGCCTACAGTTGATTCTTGATATCAGATGTTCTCGTGTACTCATGAAATCAGATTGCCTTGAGATTGTTCAAGCATGCAAAGGAGACACTGAGAGCAACTCTAGCAGACCCCGCATCCTGCCCCGACCCGCAAAATAACCGCCAAAATGCGGGTCGGGGCGAAAAAAATCAGCCCGATCAGATCCCGCATCCCGCCCCGGCCCGCAAAAAATTTTAGGGGGCACGGCAAAATCCCAACCCCAACCCAGGAAAATGCGGGTTTCCCCCTCACGGCTGCGGTGCCCTACATATAAGCAGAAGCAGTTGGTGGGAGGACATTTCATCCCGTGCTTTCTCCCACCAACCACCTCTCTCTCCCCCCTCGCGCCACCGCCCAAGATTCCGGCGAATGCAGACGACAGGAGCACGCCGGAAGGCCGCCACGCGCACGAGGCCTCCCCTCCCTTCCCCCCTGCGTCGGCGGGCCACCGGATTTGCAGATCTGTGGCACTTCATCGTGGGCTGCCGGATTTGGCTTTTTCCGGCCGCCAGTTGCTGCCCCAAGTGACGGAGTGGTCGGGGAGCCTCTCCCGCAGCCCAGGCAAGGGCGCATCGCCGCATGCAGGTTCGTCCCCCAACCCCACCCCGCCGCCGAAGTTTTGCGGGCATGGACTCGTCCGGCCGTCCACCGGGCTCGGCGCTCACGCAACGTCTTTGTGGCTTGCCCATGCCGCTCATAGAGTGTGACGACTGCACGCGAAAAGTGCTGCAGCTCACTTCGGGCACGCCGAAGCACCCCCGATGGGTGTTCTTCAAATGCGAAAACGATGGGGTACGTGCACTTGCGGTAGCTCGTTTCATAGTTCATTCTTTAGTTCAATTGCGGTAGCTCACTTCGAGCTTGCTCATTCTTTTGTGTAGGACGATGGATGCTCATTTTGGTTTTGGGAAGGCCAATACATTGATTTGTTGATAGAAAGAAACTTAATAGATGTTAGTGCACTTCTTAGTACAATCGAAGGCAATGATGTGGCTGCATGTGCAACTGGAGGGGAAGCAACATCTACTTCTTCCGAACCAAAGATGAAGAAAGAAGAATGCAAAATCAAGAATCCACAGATCAACAACGAATGCATGGAGAAGATACTAGTCCAACTAGTGGGAGCAGTTATGGAAGTTGGAAATCTTCTAAAATGCATACTTGTAGTTCTTGTTTTCTTTGGTCTTGCTATTCTAGCAAAGATTTGATGATGTCTTTTGTATCCAATGTTGTTAATAAAGCAAAGCAATGTAATATGCTAGATCAAATTTAGTTGTAAATTTAAGTTTTGCGTGCCGGGAGGAGCTGCGCCAAATCAGACGCGCAACCCCAACCCGTCCTTTTTTACAGGTCCATTATGTGGGGTCTGCAACTGCAGCCGTCCGCGCCGGCCCGCAAAGACATTTTTCCGTGAACTGCAAAAACGTTTTGCGGGTCGAGAGGATGCAGGGTCTGCTGGAGTTTCTCTGACATCCGAGCTCCATACCGAGTGATCTTGGCGGATTGTTTTGATTTAGCACATGGAATATCGCTACTGAAATTTCAACATTGCCCTAGGGAAGCAAATACAGGTTGGCACACCTAATAACTAGACATGCTTATGATTCCCAATTGTCTTATGGGATGATGAACCTCTAGATATCTTATTACCGCATGTACTCAATGATGTAACTCTTTCATCCTTGGATAATTAAAATGCCAACAGGTTTCCCCTCAAAAAGAGAGAGGGAAAGGAGTATCCCACTGTTGTTTGGGTCAGGCCCATTTTGCTTCTTTTGTTTCATGTTTGCAATAGAGAAATAGTTACTAAAAGGATAGGACCCGATTTTTTATAATTAATAATTAATAATTCAGTAATTCCAGAACTGGTAAAGGATATGTGAAAATTCTAAAAATAGGAAAGACGCAAATAACAACAGCGTCCACGTCTGGACGCCATTAAAAACCACGTCCACTTCTGGACGCTATTGCCAACAGCGTCCAGTTATGTGGTTCGGCCGGTGCTCTAATTAAACTGAACTGAGTCGTTTCTCATTGATGTTCCATGACCCGTAAAACCTAGTTCGCTTGCAATCATTGCTCTTCGTCCTTGACGTGCGTCAAGCATTCTCGGCCGATGTTACAAACCCAGCTACTACTCCATCAAACACAACGGATTACTACTCTCTCGTATTGATTCACTCAAGCATCATGCCTGGTTACGTAGGGGAAAAACTAGAGAGGAGAGGTCCAGAGGAAGAGAGCTAAGACCATCTCTAGGCGATCCCTTAAAATATAGTACAGTAAACCGCGGAGTAAAGCTTAGTGGACAATTTTTACTTCACTAAATTTTTGCCCGACCTAGCTGATCTCGTAAATTGAGCGGAGTAAAAAACAAATTCGGATATGACGAACACAAATTTAATTCAAAAAAACTTACTAACCGAAATTCGACACCTATTAATAACATTTAACATTTTCAACAACTAAAACATAGTCTACTAACGGAACTAAACTTACTGATCTAATTGATATCTGTATCATGGACAAACGACATCCAGTCCGCCATGGACATTCCACTAATCATGGGGTCGGCCGGGGCATGTGCCGTCGGCTGGGTCATCGTCGAAGATTCTTCTAAATTTGGTCCTGAAGTCGCCATTGTTGCCGCCTCCGCTTCCACTACCTCTGTTGTCGCCG